AGTTGCACAAAAAAGGGCAGGCTACGAACAGCAGGTTTCATTGAACAGTAAAAATATAGTTTTGTACAAATGTAATGTATGTTTCAATAAATGGTGCACGTGACAAATTCAGGCAGAGTTCTTCTTTTTTATTTAAGCTCCATGCCTTACTCAATGTCTTTTTCAATGTAGCCTGTATGCATGGAAAAAGATAATATTGTTTGCAGCTGTTTTGTAATGGTTTTGTCATTTTAGATCTTTATTGGAATTTATCCATTACTGTAAAAGATTAAAGAGATATATACATTAATTAATTGTCTCACAAAATCTTGTATTACTGCATTTTCTGATGTGCTGTTGATTAAATGACCCCCAGAACATGCGCCCTAGGCAACAGCATGTGCCGACAAAGCATACTGGGCGTGTAATAACTTTATGATATCACAAGTTCTCACAAAAAGGAGCACGTAGAGGGCAAGATAAATTAATTCTCTAACGAAATCCTGCATTAGAACATTTTCAGATGTTTTATAATGGAAATATGACCCAGAGAATATACCCTCCAAAGCAACTGTATGTGCCGACAAAGCATACTAAAGGTGTCATAACTTTATGATTTCACAAGTTGTCACAAAAAGGAGCACACATAAGGCAAGATAAATTCATTCTCTAACGCAGTCCTGCATTAGAACACTTCTGATGTTTTATAATGGAAATATGACCCAGAGAAAATACCCTCCAAAGCAACTGTATGTGCCGACAAAGCATAGTGGGCGTGCCATAACTTAATTTAAAAAGTTCTCAAAAAATCAAGCACGTAGAGGGAAAGATCAATTAATTCTCTAACGAAATCCTGCATTAGAACATTTTCTGATGTTTTATAATGGAAATATGACCCAGAGAAAATGCCCTCCAAAGCAACTGTATGTGCCGGCAAAGCATGCTGGACATGTCATAATTTTGTTATTTCAAATGTTCTCAAAAACAGAGCACATAGAGGGCAAGATAAATTCATTCTCTAACAAAATCCTGCATTACAACATTTTCTGATGTTTTGTTATGGAAATATGACCCACAGAACATGCCCTTCCAGGCAACTGTATGTGCCAACAAAGCATAATGGGCATGACACTAATTTATTATTTAAGAAGTTGTCAAAGAAATGAGCACTTAGAGGGCAAGATAAATTCATTCTCTTACGAAATCCCACATTACAACGTTTTCTGATGTGTTATAATAGAAATATGACCCACAGAACATGTCTTTCCAAGCAACTGTATATGTGGACAATGCATAATGGGCGAGTCATAACTGTATTATTTCTGAAGTTCTCAAAAAAGGAGCTTGTAGAGGGCTAGATAAGTTCATTCTCTAACGAAATCCAGCATTAGAACACTTTCTGATGTTTTATAATGGAAATATGACCCAGAGAAATTGCCCTCCAAAGCAACTGTATGTGCCGACAAAGCATAGTGGCCTTGCCATAACTTAACAATTTAACAAGTTCTCAAAAAATTGAGCAGGTAAAGGGAAAGATCAATTCATTCTCTAACAAAATCCTGCATTAGAAAATTTTCTGATGTTTTATAATGGAAATATGACCCACAGCATATGCCCTCCCAAGCAACTGTATGTGCCGACAAAGCATACTAAAGGTGTCATAACTTTATGATTTCACAAGTTGTCACAAAAAGGAGCACATATAGGGCAAGATAAATTCATTCTCTAACGCAGTCCTGCATTAGAACAATTGAAATAACAAAATTATGACACGCGTAGTATGCTTTGCCGGCACATACAGTTGCTTTGGAGGGCATTTTCTCTGGGTCATATTTCTATTATAAAACATCAGAAAATGTTGTAATGCAGGATTTCCTTACAGAATGAATTGATCTTTCCCTCTACGTGCTCGATTTTTTGAGAACTTGTAAAATATTTAAGTTGTGACATGCCCAGTATGCCTTGTCGGCACATACAGTTGCTTTGGAGGGCATTTTCTCTGGGTCATATTTCTATTATAAAACATCAGAAAGTGTTCTAATGCAGGATTTTGTTAGAGAATTAATTAATCTTGCCCTCTACGTGCTCATTTTTTTGAGAACTTTTGAAAAAACAAAATTATGACACATCCAGTATGCTTTGTCGGCACATACAGTTGCTTTGGAGGGCATATTCTCTGGGTCATATTTCCATTATAAAACATCAGAAAATGGTCTAATGCAGGACTGCGTTAGAGAATTAATTTATCTTGTCTTATGTGTGCTCCTTTTTGTGACAACTTGTGATATCATAAAGTTATTACACGCCCAGTATGCTTTGTCGGCACATGCTGTTGCCTAGGGCGCATTTTCTGTGGGTCATTTAATCAACAACACATCAGAAAATGCAGTAATACAAGATTTTGTGAGAGAATTAATTAATGTATATATCTCTTTAATCTTTTACAGTAATGGATAAATTCCAATAAAGATCTAAAATGACAAAACCATTACAAAACAGCTGCACACAATATTATCTTTTTCCATGCATACAGGCTACATTGAAAAAGACATTGAGTAAGGCATGGAGCTTAAATAAAAAAAAAGAAGAACTCTGCCTGAATTTGTCACGTGCACCATTTATTGAAACATACATTACATATGTACAAAACTATATTTTTACTGTTCAATGAAACCTGCTGTTCACAACCTGCCCTTTTTTGTGCAACTGTTCCTTTAAAAAATACAGCCGAAAGTACTGAGGGGGAGGGGTTAACAACCACCCAACATTTTTAAGGTGGAACGGATAGTTCGGCGAATAAGGAGCTGGCGAAAAAGGAGCTGGAGTCAGCCTCGTTGTGAAGTGTCGGTCACAGCGCCTTTTAATTAGGGATCGGGTATCGGTCAAAGAGAGCCGATCCAAATCCGAGAATTTTTTTTTTTTTTTTCGATTGTGCAAATTATTCTGTGTTACTTCTGAAGCCATACGATAGCTTAATGTGAGCTACATATGAATATTTAAGTCCTTACATTAAAGTTCACACAAACTCTTTTCTCCGCTGTGTCTGTCAGTCATTCGTTCAGCCTTTAAACCCTGGTCGCGTTCGGTTACAGCAGTCAGCTCGGTAAAGCTCTCTCCAAGATCATTCTGTGTTCCCAATTCCCATTATACTTGATTTGTAAATACATGTCTATGATTTAGCAAAAAGGACTTTATCTTCTTGCCGGAGTTTAATGCTGTTTTGTTACTTGCTACCGGGTGTCTGTGAGAACAAAACACGGCGTAGAAAAGACTATAAATTGTTTTTAACGTGCACAGTAACTGAAATTTAAAACTGTTAAAAGAAAGGCTCAATAACTGTTGCACAGATATAATACACTACGCATCAATTTCTCTTCCCTTTGTGCTTTGCAGTTTTTAACAAGAAGCGCTTACAATGTGCGCATCCGGTGTGCAGAATGATGCGCTTGAAGCAACACGAAGTCACCGCACGCAGCACTTTGCATTAAAAACTGCAAAGCACAAAGGGAAGAGAAATTGATGCGTAGTGTATTATATCTGTGCAACAGTTATTGAGCCTTTCTTTTAACAGTTTTAAATTTCAGTTACTGTGCACGTTAAAAACAATTTATAGTCTTTTCTACGCCCGTGTTTTGTTCTCACAGACACCCGGTAGCAAGTAACAAAACA